GGGTTTAGAAAATACTAAATTTAGGAACCATGTGTAGGGACCGGTTTGTTTAAGCCTGGCAAACGTGACTCACCTCTGTATGGAAAACCTACAGATGTGAAGTGGTGGGCAGGAGCCAGACCTTCAAACCAAGTTTTCCCATGGGAATCAGGCCTAGAAAATGGATACAGATTGTTATGGCTTGCCCTTGCTAAAACTCCCTCACCCTGGTCTAAAGCAACAAATGTGTATTGTTTATCTTCAAGGTAACTTCCAAAGCCTGTGTGAGCTCTCCCAAGAACAGAGCTAATCAGCTCATCACCATTCCCCTCTGCATGTTATTTTTATTTCCTTGATTGTACCTAGAATGTAGACAATAATATTCTATGTGATACATAATAAATCTTTCTTTGATGTAAGACCCCAGGAAAATAATAAAAGCCTGTGTAGGCAAGGGTCGGGGCGCTCCCCTCTTGAGGGAGTGGCCGAGGCACCATAGGCACTCTCCCTTTGAGAGAGTAGTCGTGCCTGTTCCCTTTTCCCACACAGGGTTGTTGTCACCTGTGCATTGATTCTCATCGTAAACCACAACAGGTGGACTCTGCTGGACAGGGTAGGCCACAACCATGAATACATGCTTTTCCTGTAAACAGAAAGCAAACCCTTGGAGGCATGTTCCTAACAAATATTAATATGTTTATGGATAGGGGAATAGGGGAGGAGGCAAAAATGTGTATTAATTTAACATTAAATGATAGTTTTAAGAAAGTGACCACATTTTGCACAGAGAGCATGAGCTCTTGAGTAAAACTACCTGGACTCAAATCATGGTTCTACCATTTTTTGTGTCATTTTGAGTGGATGACTCAGTCTCTCTTTGCCTCATTTCCCTAGTGAGTAAAGTAAAGATCGAAAGAGCATTACCTCACAGAGTTCTTATAAGAACTAAATGGTGCAATACATGGATGGTGTTTACAATGGTGGCTGGTATGTCAGAAGCAGTAAATACATGAAAGCTATCATTAATTATAACCATAAAGTTATATACATACACACACACACACATATATATTTCTGCAAAACAAAATGTCTGAACTTCTGCTAAATTCCTTACCACCTGAGAAATTACTCTCAATGAATTTATGATTTCTTGATATGATGGAAAATAACTCCATAGTTTTGTTACTGCTTTATCACAGACTTGTATTAGAAATGATTAGACTATCTTCTGGGCAATGATTTTCTTTTTTTGCCAACTGTCACAGAAATGCTCTGTATTATACAATTATAGTCCAACATACAAATAGGTAACATATGGTGTGGCCAAAATATAGTGCCCCATCAAATAAAATGTGTTGCCAGTACACAGTACTAGTTTTTGTAAGATCATTTAAGGTTTTATGTTATTCCAGCCAACAAATATCATTAAAGATCTACCAAAATCTCAGCTCCAGGCAATGCTGAGTAAGTATAAAGAAAAGCGCTGTGCTATTTCATGGTAAGATGCTGGGGTCCTGGGATGATGACACTGAATCGTGTGAAAAAGCGGAGTCACTAAGAGGAAGAGTATAATTCAGTACCAAACTGCATGATACAGCTCATAAAAGAGTCGTAGGAATTCAGAGGAAGATTACTGAATTGTAGGATGGTTAAGAAAAGTTGTGCCCAGAAGAGAGAGGGAATGGAGCAGCAATTATATGTATGACCTGGTTAAGTTAGTTAACCTCTCAGCATAACTGTTTCATCCTTTACAAAATTTGACAATTTAGTGCATGTAAAGAAGTGCCAAGCATACTCTTAAGCAAGATAGGTTTGTGGTTGGGTCTTAGAGAATGATATCTGCCTAAAGAGAGAGCATTTCAGATAGCAGGATAACCCACGTCATACAAAAGACATACATACTCCTTTTAAAACTTCAAGTTCAAAAAGGTAAGGAAAAACTTCCACAAATAATGGTCCTACTATTATAACAATTTTGTGTGGCAAATAATCCCATTTATCCTCCTGTGTGGTAAGATAAACCCTTGAGCACAAGAGACTTAATGCAGGTTAAAATCCTACAGAGTTCCTTCTTCTACACAGAAATTCTTTAAACAAAGAAATGACATAGAATAAAGATATCTGCTTTCCCCTTTAAATCCTTGCTTCTCACTGGCCCTTCTCTATGTAAAAGTGGCCAGGACCTGGGCTCACTGTTATTTATAACAAAGAGTTATAATTATAATCCTTTCTCTACTGTGATTTTCAGATAATTAAAATTAGAAAAAAATGTTTTCCTCATTTTCTGTAGTAAGTCAAGCAAAGATTATATACCACCACCTTTCCAATATAGAAAAACAGTAAGAGAAGGAAGGATTCCTCCAAAGTGTCTCAACACCATCTGGGGAAATTATACTTACCACAGTCCTGATATCATTTACATGTATCATCTTTCATTGGAATTTTTTCCTAACATCAGTTAGAGCACTAATTTTCCCAGAAAGCAGAAACAGAGAAAATAGGAGGATAACATTATGTGGACAACATAATAGTGACTTTGACAAATAAAACTGCATCTTCTAGGATTGGTCAAAGCAGTGGCACTGTGTTCTGCTTAAAAATAGAAGGCACATTAGAGTAATAAAAGTTTCCACTTCAAGCCAAATTAAATTATCCCAATTCCAAGCCTGAGGATAATTTCATTGTAATTAGAAAGAAGTGGGCCTTATAGAAAATTCTTTTATTCATTCTTATCTATACAAAAGTAATTTCAGCTGTGCATCACAGGATCTATATCCATTTCTTGCAGAGAGAAATAAAATTAAGGCCTGGAATCATTACTTTGGCTTCTTCAGAAAGCAGAGAAGAATCGGAAATACAGTGTTGGTAGTTTGAGGCTTTGCTATGTAAACTCACCTACATACCTTGGTCCTTTCAGAGTTTGTTTGTCATACCATATGACCACACAAGTATAAATTATCCATAAAACAAAATTGTTTTTCCTGTGTTTCTTTAATGCTTTCATAGTCCTTGATGCATATATACAAATTTATTTTGACTAAGACTTTCTTCCTTGGCAAGGCAGGGCAGTCCTCTAGTTTCCTGATGGCATATAGGGAGGAAATTTGCATGCCCCTTACTTCTGCAACCACCAAGATACAGTCAGGAGAAACTGTATTCTACTCATTTGTTCTTTTATTTGACATTCTAATAATCTATGCAACACTGCAAGGCATTGTGCTAGACACTAAGAAAAGAGTGGTAAACAAAACATGACCCCATCTTTCTGGAGTTCATGGTTTTCTCAAATATCTGTTGTGGTTTTGGCTTTCATTTTGTGTTCTGTGTATTGCATAAGGAGATTTCTGGTCTTGATAACCAAAAAGAAACTCAAAATATGATAAATGAAGCTGTTAGGCAGGACCTCAGAGGAAGCAATTTGCAAGGCTGAAGTGACTGCTGCAAGAACTTGAGGGACACATAGATGCAGCACAAAATACCAACCCGAAGAGTACCCATTTCATGTGGCTTCTGTAAGAAATTACCACAAACCTAATAACTTAAACCTACACGAATTAATGATCCTACAGTGCTGGAGGTTAAGCATTGTAAATTCAGGGTGTTGGCAGGGCTGCATTCCTTTGCAGGGTCTTTGGGGGAATCTATTTCCTCACTTTTCCAGGTTCTAGAGGCTGCTGAATCCTGTCTCCTTCCTCCATCTTCAAAGCCAGCAGCGTAGCCTTTTCAAATCTCTCTCTCACTTTATTTCTTTCTCTTTCTCACCTCTGCTTTGGTCATCACCTATTCTCAGACTGACACTCTAGCTCCCTTTTTCTAAGAAGCCATAGAATTACAGAGGATCCACCCAGATAATCCAGGATAATCATCCATTTCCAGATCCTTAAGCTAATCATATCTGCAAAACCTCTTTACCAGGTAAGAAACAGGTCATGGGTTCTGAAGATTCAGGGTTGGGCATTTCTGACAGCCATTATTCAGCCTACCATATAAGGCAAAGCATATTAAAAAAAAGTTTGAATTTTTCGCACTTCTAGTCAACTAACTGCCTGCTGGCCTTTTGCAAGTTTATTGTTTTACTTCAAGACCATTTTGGATATCCATTTTAAATAGCTTTTTTCATTAAAATGGTGGCAGCCCTTATTCTCCCCGCCAAACTGGTTATTTCTCTGAGGCCTTGAACTCTAACACCAGTTTTCTTCACAAGTCAACAATCTAAAAATAAAACCAGAGACAATGACATAACTCATAAATGAACTCTATGAGCTGACTGTCACAAATAAACATTTCATTACAGTCAAACTTTCCTATATTCTTGCAGGACTAAATTCTATAACAAATAATTTATGGGGCTGGAAATAGCTTTTCTACTTTCTACAGAGGGGGGAGATTAAGATTTAGCAAAATGATCATGGCTTAATTCTTGCAGACATTATGTAGCACAAGCTCTTCTTCGATGCAGATTATAAATTTAGGTTTAGCAAGGAATAATTACGCGTTACTTCAGCGGTAAAAAAGTCACTAAGTACCTTATGCTCCCAGTGATGTTACAGGCTAGAATTGACATTTTCACGTCACTTCCACGGGAGCAAAGAGAAACAATTCATCTCAGTTTTAAAAAATACAGAGAAAAATTTTGCTTCCGGACATTATGGAATAACAGGGAACAGATTTACCTTCCTGCCTTAAAACAAAATTACGGAAAACCAGGAAAACATGTTTTTGTACAAAGTACGCAGTGTAGCACTATGACCCCTACAATTACCCGGGTTTACAAGCTGCAGGCAGTCTGCAGACGTATAATAGATGGGGCCCTCAGGGCCTTCAGCCTCTAAATCCATTTACATTCATTTACTAAGTCAAATTATCGCTCCACCGGATAAAATTCATTGAAGTAAAATTAGAAGAACACGATCCAACCCCCAAACAACAGAAGAACCAATCCCGGGAGCTGTGAAGTCTCGCGTTATTGAGAGCTCTAACGCCGTGACGTTTCCTCACGTAGACGCTCGCGAGACCGGAGGGTGGGTGGTACCAGCGGTCGGTTTACAGCTTGCGCGGCTGCAGTGAGTAAGAGACGTTCGTTACTCCGCGGTTGTTCTGGTTGTTACCAACATGAGCAGCCTGGAGGGGGTCGACAGGACCCTTCCCCTGCAGACCTGCCGCTCCACTACTCCCGACCGTGCTCCAGGAGACCGCGTCCCGGACCCGCGCCTGGAGCTCTGCGAGGAAACCGTGGCGTCACAGGTGATGGCGGAGACGGGTGAGCGAAGCTTGGAGGCCGTCTTACTCCCACAGCCCCAGCTCCCAGAGGACGGGGAACCCTCCCACGACCCCGCGGGCTGTAGCCTTATTCCCCAGATCCAAGGCGGTGGGGATCGCGGTGACGGAGCGACTGAAGCGGGGCTAGAAGAGGCTCCACTTCCCGCCGGGGGCCTGGAAGCCAAGTCTGTGTCCATGGCAACGGACAACAGCCAGAACAATGGCTGTCAGCTTGGTGAGCCTCGCGGCCCGGGTGCGGAGGAGGCCTTAGAAACCTGTGTCGCGCAGAGCTCGGGGTCCGAGGTGGTGGCCGAGGCTAAGGCCAAGGGAGTGAACATTGAAGTGAACACCGTCTCCTCAGGAGCAGTGGCTGATGGAGTGATGGAAAAGGAAGGAGTGAAGGAGGAGAAAGTAGTGGAGCAGGCGATGGAGGTGGAGAAGCCCGTAGGTGAAGAAATGAAAATGGCGGAGGAAAACAGACTGGTAGAGGAGGTGAAGGAGGAGGCAGGGCCTCAGCCCCTGAATATGAATCTTCGCATGAACCCTCTGGAAGCCATCCAGCTGGAACTGGACACTGTGAATGCTCAGGCTGACAGGGCCTTTCAACAACTGGAGCAAAAATTTGGACGGATGCGTCGACACTACCTGGAGCGGAGGAACTACATCATTCAGAATATCCCGGGCTTCTGGGTCACGGCCTTTCGGAACCATCCCCAGTTGTCCCCCATGATTAGGGGCCAAGATGCAGAGATGTTAAGATACATCATCAATTTGGAAGTGAAAGAATTCAGACACCCGAGAACTGGCTGCAAATTCAAGTTCTTCTTCCGAAGAAACCCCTACTTCAGGAACAAGCTGATTGTTAAGGAGTATGAGGTCAGAGCTTCTGGCCGAGTGGTGTCTCTCTCCACTCCAATCGTATGGCGTAGGGGCCATGAACCCCAGTCTTTCATTCGCAGGAACCAAGATGTCGTCTGCAGTTTCTTTACCTGGTTTTCAGACCACAGCCTTCCAGAGTCTGATAGGATTGCTGAGATTATCAAAGAGGACCTATGGCCAAATCCTCTGCAATACTACCTGCTGCGTGAAGGAGCCCGCAGAGCCAGACGTCGCCCAATAAGGGAGCCAGTGGAGATCCCCAGACCCTTTGGGTTCCAGTCTGGTTAAACTGCTCATGGGACTACCCTTGCACAAGGTTCCCTAACACCTGTTGCTGGACCTGTGCTTGGGCAACAGAAATGGGTATGCCTTCCACTTTTTTGTTTTCCTGACATTTCTGCAACGTTTTTTCCTGTGGACATTTAGTTCTCTCCTCAAAGTTGAGACTTTCATGGCCATGCATCTCCACTCTACACAGCCTGGCTTCTCCACTTCTCTACAGCCTTCATGCTGTTCTGCCTTACTACCACATGCTGCATGGCCATGAATCACATTACTGCTAAGCCAAGGAGTGATGCTGTAAATTCCACTGCCTTTATGTGCCCTGCTTGGACCCTGTTTGTTTCCAGGGCCTCTGGTCTGACTCTTACCACCTGGAATTATAGCTTTATCTAGGAATGCATTCTACCCCTTCTGCTCTACATTGCAGGCTTTTGGCCTGTGGACATTTCCAGGACATTAATGCTGTATCAAGGCAGAGCAGCAGTGGGCCCCTTGGTCTTTGTGATTTATGTGACTCCTTTGCCCCCCTTGCACATCTCCTACTTCATGTTGCCTCTTCTGGCTGTGCCCACTGCTCTTGACTGCTGCCTGCGTACTGGAGGAACATCTTTTCCAGACCTTTGTCTGCCCCTCTCATTTTTGGTAAACCATAATCCCCAGAACTGGTGGTACACCCAAGTTTCCTTCTAGCACAGTTTCCTTTCCAGCCCTTCCATTCCTCTACCCAAAAGACATCTTGAATCATCACCCCCCTTTTCCTGGACCCCCATCATCCAGGAACCCTACTGTCAGGCAAGCGAATGAAGTGACAGGATAGACCTTTTCATCATGACAAGAATAAGGATGGTGCCCAGGCTTTCTCAGCCTCAACTAGTGAATTTACATGAAACCTAGGTACCTCTTCGTACCTCCTTTTCTTATCCTGAACATGATTGTCAAGATAGCAGTATACTTTCTTTCTGTGTCCCTTAATCTCAAAATAAAGATAGCTTAGAAATACCTGCAAAAAACAAACCTTTTAGTTTTATTTAGCGCTCTCCATGATTTCCAGGGACAGGTTGTCTTGTAAAATAGAGTGCCAGAGCTCACAAACTCTTCCCTTTGCTTTCTTCCCCAGCTCCCCAGAACCTGGAGGATTTAAGGGAGACAGATTTAGATGGAATGAAAAGTGTTACCTAGTTCATAATGGGTAGAAGAACTTAAAAGAGGTTGTGATTGGTGCCTTAAGCAGGGGAAACTGATCAAAACACTAGGCAAATGGGTTGCAGGCCAGTTCCCAGTAGGGAACACAGGAGAGGCAACCACACATTAATGTTTCCCACTCTCCTTCTCATCCCCTCTCTCTAAAAAATAAAATATTTTAAAAAGCAAACAAAAAAAGAACCAGGCAGAAATGAGCCAGGTGAAAATAGGGCCTAAAATTAAGACTTGTTGACTAAGAATGTTTAAGGAAAAGGTTCCCCTTGCTCCCCATGTTAGTGATGGGAGGAGAAATATTTTTGTTTTAGAATTTCCATGGGAGAATTGAAGGAGACGGTGGAGTGTTAAATATGTTGCTGAGAGAATAGTTCTTTAAAGAAACATGAACAACTTTAGATGCTTTCTCTTGTTTTTATTTGATTTGACTTAACTTATGCAGATTAATATTGTGTCCTTTATTTAACTGTCTGCAGTATTTAGTAAAATCCTGTTATTAGTTTCTGCTTACTTGGAAAATTGAGCTGTACAGGCTTTCTTTGCTTTCATTTAGCAACATTTAAAAAAATAACAATCTTATGTTCCAGTAGGAAATACAGACTTAAATGAATATTCATAATGGTTTTCCAGTTGTTCTTGTTTCTGTCAAAACTGCATTTTTAGAAATTTAAATAACCTGAACTTGTCAGATTCTCAAGACTTTGGAAATTGTTATCTTCATGGGAAAATTACCTGGGGAAAATATGTAGCTTGATTGTCTTACTTGATAATTGCTCTGGTAACAACTTAGTAATTGTGTCTCTTTTCCTAAATAGCTTAAATACTTGGGAGATTGTTCTTGTCAAATTAGAATTGTATCACTAGCATATTTATCTTTCCACATGTGCATGATGATAAAATAAAAACATGTTATATTCTGTGAGAGTTCTTATTTTTCACCCTGCTAACAGACATTCTTGAAATTATTCAAGGTAACAGACTATGAAATTTAATAAAGTTCTTTAATGGATACCACAGGCATTATCTCAAAAGAAGAATAAAATAGGGCACTCTACTACTGTATCTTGCAAGGTAGGGAGTGATGTCGCTTTTGATCGTTTTTAAATATCCACACTTGGGACTGCTTTTTCATGATGTTACCCCCCCCCCCCCCCGTGCAGTTTGTGTAGCACCCCCCCCACCCCAGCCTCCATCTTCACTTTCTATCTGTGTAGATAATAGTCTCACATCATTCAGGCTTTTTAGTCACTTGTGCATTTAATAAGCACACATTCAGAGAATTCTTATAAGTGACATACTTCTCTATCCCGTACTTTTTCAGCTGTAAAAACGTTCATTTTTTCCCTTCAAACCTCACCACCTTCTATTTCTGTCAGATCCAGTAAGATTTGTCATAAATAACTTCTGCTTTATAGTTTTTCTATTCCTCTGTAGGGAAGATGAAAACAATTTGTATGTGCTTGGTGTATTTTTGCAGGATCTTCTGTTGTAGAAAACAACACAGTAATTCATTGTATTGAATTCCTTGAATATTAAGGCTTCTATCAGGCCCCGGGAAGATAATGGAGTAAAAGAAGATGAAGTACACTCCCTTTATTGTTAAAGAACTGAAGAAATATGGATAGGCAAACAAATGACACACAGTGATACAGTAAAAACAAAGTCTTATTCACATATTTTCACTGTCCCTTTTTAGTTTTGAAGTTTTGTGGAAGCAGGGACAGGGAGGGTATGATAGGCCAACAAGTAATTGACAAAGTGATACAGAAAAAATACAAAGATGTATTCACATGTTTCTCACTATCCCTTTCTACTTTGAAAGTTATGTGAAAGCAGAGGTGGGGGAGGGTGTTTTTACCTCCTTTACTGTGTCTAATGTTTTTTTGCACGTAGCTGTCTGATAAAAATTCATTGAGCAATAAAATTAACTCAAATGGAGAAAAAAGAAACTTAGTACCCAGAAAGAATTTTGATGAGGTAATGAAAAGAAAAAAATGGTTTTCAAGGCATCTGTAAAATAGATGTAAAAAAATTTTATGAAGCCTTTATTAAATAAAAGCAAATTTCTTGTTTAAGTAGCTAGAAAAAGTCCACACTCTGTAACAACATTTTACTTCCCATCTGAACAGCATTAACTTCGTAGCAATTTTTCTGTGCTCTGTTTCTGTACATCTCAAGGTGACTATTAACTGGAGATTGAAGGCCAGTAGACTCTAGACTAATGTGCTGCCTAGTACAGTAGCCACTAGCCACCAGTGGCTTTTGAACACTTGAAATGTGGCTAGTCCAAATTGGGATCTGTAAATATAAAATACTGGATTTTAGAGGCATGGTATGGAATGTTAATTTTTTGTGTTGAGTGCATATCGAAATACTACTTTTGATATATTGGGTTAAATGAAATGTATTACTAATTTCTCATCCATTTTTTAAAATGTGGCTACTGGTAAATTTTAAATTATATCGGTATGGTTCTAGACTTCTTGATGAATATCTCAAAGCATATAAAATTACCTAAAAATTAAACATTACTTTCTCCCCATGAAATTTTTTAAGGGTTAAGGGTTACCTAGCTTAAGGTAAAGGGTTACCTTAAGGGTTACCCTTACTTAAGGGTTATCTAGCTTAAATTCAAGGTGGATAAAATATAGCTGGAGGCTAGTGGGTAAGAAGGGTAAAATGAAATGCCTTCAATCTACTTGTTCTCAACTACCATCCTAAGATACAATATTCAGTACTTTGCAAAACATGCTGTGTACAACTATTTGGATATAAAGTAGATCTAGGTGCCAAATTGGCACTGATATTGGTTCATAAGTCTCCAGCAACATTTATGACCTATAGCTTCATATTTTTCTAGAATAAAATGTTCTGTAATTTTTGGCTTACAGATGTACGTGGAGCTCAGAAAATAAAGCAATTTTAGTCATTAAATATACCACTTTTGTGTATATTAATTACATGGGCTCCAAATTTTAGCAATTAGCCAGCAATAGGAAAAAAAAATCTATCTAGTATTGCATCAAGTCAATTCAATGTTCACCACTTGAAGAAGCATATTTTATTTTTGAAGATTAGTAATTGCTGCAACCTTGCAGCAATTATTATTGTGTATTGGATACTATATTAAGGATTATATAGAATAGTAAATATTGTTCTGGTCCTTGAAGAACTCAGTGTCTCACTGAAGGGATATCATTCCTTGGATGTTTTCACTAGCAAATCCCTCAAACCAGTCACACGCTCAAGAAAAGAGAATTTATGTGGTCAAGAGGAGGTGTCAGATGATCAGGACCATCCCCTCGGGGCTAACTTCTTTCTCCATGTTAATATGTGAATGAAGTGCTAGATGGTATAAAAATGAGTACAATCTTTATCCATTTATTAGTATGGGAGGTATTTCACTTGTGAGCAGAACTTTATGATTGAAGTGCTTTGTATCAGCTCTAAAGGACCACCTTGATCCATTTCCTTTGACCTCAGAGGTTCTTAAGACCCACAGAAAAATTTCCATCAGACCACATTAGGAAAAGTGGATGTCTACTTTTTGGCTTTACTTTCTCAAGATTTGCATTTAATGTAATTTCCTTGAGAACAGTCCAGGAAGAAACAGTTCTATTAAAAATGAAAAGGGCCACTTGCTAATTTTCATAAATACCCAGATGTCTTAATAGTGGCCTGAAGAAGCAGGAAAAGCACACTAGCTTTTTAAAGTTTGGATTAATTCACAGTTTTAGAATCTTCCTCCAAGTACATTAGCCAAAATAAATAGCTTGTCCATAATGCAAGGATGGTAATACCTGTATTATAAGCTAATATTCTCCCAGGTTGTATTTGGAGAACATAAGGTTGTAGAGAGGATAACAATAACAAACGTGTGCCAGGCACTATGCTAAAAATACCAAATATTAACATTGTTAATGTTAGAGTTCAAAAATGTCTAGTATAGTGCCTGGCATATAATATGTAATGAATATCAATGATCAGTTACCTTCCTCTCAATTTTAATTTCTCGCTTAATTTACATTTAGACAAGTAATCATTTAGCCTCATATTTCTCAAACCTGACTGCCCATTATAAATAGCGGAGAGCTTTGAAAAAATCCTGATGTCTAGGCTCTACCCCAGACCAATTAAGTTAGACCCTAGGCAGACAGGTTTGAGAATCATGAATAACTTTTCCTTGGACTCCTCAAATGAGGGAGTGCTCAGTCCCTTCCCAATTTTGTTACTCATAAATCTACCACCTTATATCAACCAGTTATGACAAAGTGTCTGGCATGTAGAAAGCTCTCAGCACACCTGCTCCATATTATAACCCCTACAGTTTGACAGAATGGAATTAGCCTAATTACACAAAAGAACTCTTTTAAAGTATTCTACCTCTTAACCCCAACCCCCATCGTGAACAACAATCTGGCCATGATTCCTGGTAGTCAACATGACCAATGCCATCTTAGGAAGCAAGCTGACCACCAGTTCACCCAAGGAGGAGTGGGCCAGACTCACCTGAAAGAAATGTTCTTACATAGTTAAGTGGGCCCATAAGTTTACTGCTTTGAATTACACAGCTCTTAACAAGCCCGTAGCACATGGCCACAAGCCACCTGGGTTAGCAGGTGCCCCTTGGCTATGTATATCACACCTCCTTCCCCTTTACACAAGAAAATTTATTCTTGCTGGTTCACAGTCTGCTTCTGTCCTTAAATTCCTTTAAAGTTTTTAATTCCGGAATTGTTAGTCTCTCTCTTTCTTCTCTCGACCCTTCCCTCCTTTGAAGCTTGGTTTTACTATTCCTGTGGAATTTTTTGAACATATTCCTGACAAAAGAGTACGATCTATATAATTGGTAAATGTGAAGTAGCATGGGAAACATCTGTGGTGATATACAAGTACAGAATGGTTGCCCGAGGGTTCAGGAGAGTAGCTGGGAAGAAGCAAGAGTGAACTTTTAGAGGTGATAGGGCTCCATATCTTAATTTGGGTGATGACAACACAGATGTATTCATTTGCCCAAACTTGTCAAACGGTACACTTAAAATCCATGCATTGTATATAGTGTATGTAAATTATAGCCTCAATAAAAAAATAAATAACAGATTTTAAAATATTACTGAGAATTCAAAAACTGGAACTTCATTTGCCCATTTCCAGTATTTTGCCTTCTCTCCTGTGCTTAAATAAAAGTTGCTGACTCTACTTGTAAGACCTTATTTGCAAGTTTTTCTTACTGCTGTATAATTTCATTTATAATTCCAATCTTGGAATTACTTTTCAACTTTTTCTTCCTCAATTCCAGGCCACTAAAGAAATTAAGTCTGCTCAGGACAGTATGTCCTGAAATAGTGTTGACAGTAATAATTTCCCTCTGGCACTCAAGAATCTCCCTGAGTTTCCCTTCTCATTTCTCCACATTCATATGCCTACAGAATGCTTCTCTGACCTTCTTTATTGGGCCCTTCTTACTGACTCTTCAGCTCCAACCTACTCCTTTCCATTACCTTAAAGCAGTGGATCACAAAGGGTGGTCCCCAGACCAGCAGCAACACAAGAATCTTTTTAGAAATGCAAATTCTAGAACTTGGGAAGCCCTGACCCAGGCAATCCTCCTGGTCGAGGATGAAATGAGTCATTTAGGGAAAGGTGGTGGTGACTCCTAGTGGAGAATGCCTCCAGCCTTTCTCCGAAATGACTTTTATTGGGATGGGTACCCACAGGGGTATACAATAGTCATGCAAAGCTCATCAATCAAATGTCTAATGGCCATAGTTACAGAAAACAGACATCTATAGATAATGATTGAGAAAACATAGAGATTTGCCTTGGGTCAGCGTCTGTTAGACATTCTGACTCCAGATGGTTGTTAAGACGTGCTTCATGAGATAAGGAGTTCACTCTTTCTGCTTTTGGACTTAGATATCTGATTCCTGGCAACAGGGCTAAACAAAGCAAGCCTCCAGGGGTATAATGCATTCTTTAAGCCTGATCTCCCATGGGAACCCTCAGTGTTAGTACCAGGTCACGCCTGTCTTCAGCATTCCTGGCATTCTGGTCGAGACTTGTAGCCTCTTTGAGTGGGGCTACAGTCTCCAATACGACACAAAGTGGTCCGCAATGTAGAACACCATCTATTACCTGCTGAATCAGAAACTCAGGAAGTGGAGGAGAGCAACTGTTTTAACCAGCACTCCAGTTGATTCTGAGGCATAAGTTTGGGAACCAAAACTCTGTTGCTGCTTCTGCTTCATCTCTAGTTGATTGTTTCCTGAATTAAGTTTTTCACTATAAAAGCAAGATATTTACCTATATTTTAATCATAGTTAAGTTTCCTGCCCAATCGAGTCACAATTTGAACCTCATATAGCCAGTTCTGCTTCAAGTACACATCTGTCTTAATAATTGTAGCAGATTCTTAGAAATATCAGAAATTTCTATGTATGTTCTCATTGTACATTTGTAATCCTACAGTTTTTGTATCACTGCCCTCATTTAAAAGACAGGAAAATAGAGGCTCAGCAAATTGGAATGTATTAACCTAGATATAAATATCTAGGTTAGAATAAAGCTACATTCAATTAGGGTTTCAAGCTACATTCAAGCTAGGGCATATTCTACCATATTGTGGCAGCCTGTGATTTTGGCATTAAAACATGTAAAATTCTAATTAAGTATGAATATCATGGCTTTAATTGAAAGTTATTAATAATCTCTTCATGAATGGCTTTAAAGAGGGATCTACTTATCTTTAAATATTATTATTTTTTAAAAACATTTTTTTTTGATAACCCCCCGGTGGCGACAGCTCGCAAATTTTTAAAAAAAGATTTGTTTATTTTTAGAGAGGGGAAGGGAGGGAGAAAGAGAGGGAGAAAAACATCAATGCATGGTTGCCTCTCAAGCACCCCCTACTAGGAACCTGGCCCACAACCCAGGCATGTACCCTGACTGGGAATTGAAGCAGCAACCCTTTCGTTCACAGTCCAGTGTTCTATCCACTGAGTGATACCAGCCAGGGCTACATATTTATTTCTTTATGTTAAATAATAGAGAATCCCCAAACCCTATCAGGTTCCTATATGTAAGAATGCGGTTTTGGATATTTATTGCCTGAATTAAATTACTTGGTTTTACTTTCCCTCAGAAGAACAAAATGGGCCAGTATAATGTAAATGTTTTGCTCTCCTCCTGGAACTTGGCTGCTGAGATGTAAAGAGCATTTGATATCACTAAGAAGTATAGAGAATATATATTTATTGAAGTTTGAGTCAATAGAGTTATTACTCATAAAAGACAACACTTAATTTTCATCCTCCTTGCCAAGCTCTGACTTCCGTTAGCACATTACAGTTAAGAGTTGTGTTAAGATGGGTCTAAAAACTAGTGGGTACATGGTGGTTTAGGTGCAATTGTAGTCAACCATTTCAAGTAATTACCAAAACTTCACAGAATTCACTCTTGGGTCAGTTTGGATGGATCATCTTTGATTAGCTATTAAAAGCATTGATTTCAGAGAACTAATTTTTTTCTTAAGGTATTTTATGAAGACTTTAACGTAATATTACAAAGAAAAATGTGGTAAAGCATTTCAGTTTCAGCAACACACCTTTCTCCTCCTATGAATTAGAAATACTATATGTCTAGAATTATTTAGAAATAACTGGAACATAGTGAACAAATACTAAGTCTCAGTGTCTCGTGTCTTTGTCAGATTATGGTATCTCGGTCCATTAAAATAGTATATTGGTCCAATTCAATTCTCCTTACTTTCTCTTACTGCTTCATTCTTCACAGATCTTTCATCTTTGAACCTCTATACACTTACAGTTTCATAACAGAATTTGACAACTGATTTTATACTGTCTGTGCTATAGTGTATTTAATGTAGGTAAATCTTAGTAAAAAAATAGTAATACAAATTACCAAGTTTGCTTTTATTTACTGGAAGCCCATTGGGAGAGACACTTTACATATATCTCATTTCATCTTCACAACCCTGTAATTAAGTTTTATTTCACTCATTTTGTATATGAGAAAATTGTGACTCAGAGATGTGACCTGCTCACACTAAATAGCTATGAAATGGCACAGCTGAGACTCCTAGAGCTAGATCTGTTTGATTCCAGTGTACGTGTCTTTATCCACTGTTTTAGTCACAGTTCTTCAGGGAAATAGGCCAATAGGAAGAGATTTATTATGAGAAATTGGTTCTTGTGATATGGAGACTGAGAAGTCCCATAATCTGTTGTATGTAAGCTGGAGACCCTAGAAAGCTGGTGACCTGAGGCTGAGAATAGGGGAGATGATGGTGTAAAAACCAGCCTCAGGGCAGCCGAAGATGACCCAGCTGAAGAACTGAGGTTGGGAGCAAAAGGGGAACTTTTCTCATTCTATTTTTTTCCATTTTGTTTTATTCAGGCTCTCAAAGCATTGGATAATGCTCATCCACATTGGGATGGCAAACTACTTTCTTGAGTCCAACAATTTAAATGCTAATTACAAAAAAACCCAAAAGACACACCCAGAAATATTTAATTTGGGCACTCTTTGGCCCAGTCAAGGTGACACATAAAATTAACTTATCACACCCAGCACACAAAGGTACAAAGTCATTCAGGTCAGAAAACTTGTCTCTGACTTTCTTTATGATTGAGGAAAGAAAGACTATATAATTTTATTTATTTATTCATTTATTTTACTTTATTTTGTTAATTTTATTTTTTCTGCAACACTGCATCACGGGGGGCTATCATAACCAAATAAGCTTCCAAGAGAAAATTTTGTTAACAGTGACAGCCTAAGTGTAATAAAGAATATAATTAATTTTAATAATAGATAGACCACTAAACATATGTTTAAAACTCCTGCCAATTCTTTTAATGATGTATAGTTTAAAACGGCCATATTCTCTTTCAGAGCAGCTTAAACTTCAAAGGCAAACTCCAATCAGATCGTCATTTAAAAGACCACTTCCTCCCTCTAGTGACCAAGAATGGAAATACCATATTTATAAGCATTAAAAAAATACCAACAAAATAAAACCAACCGAGAAACAAAAATGGGTTCTCAATGTATATGTGTACCAAATACAACCTGGGAGAATATTGGATTATAATACAGATATTATCGCCCTTGCATTATGGACAAGGGAACTGAGGCTTATTGGACTACCTCAATCCATTTTCATTGATCTTAGAGGTTCTCAAGACTCACAGAAAAGGTATTTATTTTGGCTAATGTACTTTGAGGATTGTAAAACTGTGACTTAAGCCCAAAATAAAGCTAGAGTGTCTTTTCTCTGTCTTCAGGCCACTAGTAAAACGTCTGGGTATTTATGAAAATTAGCAGCTTAAATGACCCTTTTCATTTTTTAAATAGAATCATTTCTTCCTGACCTGTTCTCAAGGAAATTACATTAAATGCAAATCCGGAGAAAGTGAAGCCAAAAAGTAAACATTCAGTTATAACCTGAGGATAAGCAACATATAATATGCATAATTTTAGAAATTAAAATCTCCTGAGATTAAACTTCTAGTAAAGCCAATAAGCTCAATTAGCAGGCTTACACTTGTCTGAGTCACTCCTAAGTAAGGAAAATACAATGTTTTGCTTCTTATATTGGTTAAAAGTGAAGAGGAAATATTGTCCGACTGCTTTGTAGGTGCTGGCCAAAGTATATATACTTTAAAATCTGTAAGGAAAAATAAAATTTTTATTATGTCTTCTTAGGATGGGAGAAGTTTCCCTTTCACTTGCTCCTAATTATTTAAATGATCACACAAAATAGTAACACTTCACTTTTCTTAAAATTAAACTATTTATCTCGGTTATTTAGAAGAGGCATGAATCTACATTAAAGGAAGGCCTGTGAATTGCTGAATTCACTTTATACACGAGAAACTCTATGAGCTGACTTGAATAGACAATAACTAACCTTTCTTAATTTTTAAGTAAATATTTTAAGAGACAGTAGCTTAGGTGCCTTGAAAATTAATTCAGAGCCTTAAAAATCCACATTAACACAATTTGTATATGCTTGAGTGTGGTCTGCTGCATCTATTCATATAAGCCGAACCTTTTCCAGACTGAGAAAACTAAAAACATCTTTTAACATAGAGAATAGAATTCCCTCGACTGACCAGCTACATCACAAAGGAGCAGTTAGATCTCGCGCGATATTGAGAGGCGACCGTCTTGTCGTCACAGGTTGCCATAGCAGCATCATCCCTGGACTGGGTGCTGGGTGGTGCGAGGGGCGGAGCGCCGCTTCTGCAGAGGACGCGCATCGCTCTGGTCCAGCAGGTCTGACTTCTACCAAAATGAGCGGCCTGGATGAGGGCTACAACCTTCCTGTCGCTAAAACCTGCGACCTCGCGACTCCCGACCACGTCCCGGGACATCCGGACTTAAACCAGTGCCAGAGCGAGGCGGCAGAGGCGATCCAGGAGATGGCGCACACAGGTGAGCGCAACTCGGAGATCTCTGCAGAGGGAGGCGCGAGCCAGGCCCCCGCGGGCTGCGGCCCTGCTCTCCGCAATCGAGTGGCCGGGAGTCGTGGTGGTGCAGCTACTACAGCGGGCCAGAAAGACGCCCAGCCTCCCACGGAGGGCCTGGAAGCAGCCTCCGTCTCCCCCTCCGTGGCATCCTACAATAGCCAGGAAAATGGCTGTCAGCGTGGAGAGCCGAGTGGCCTTGCTGGGGAGAAATCTCTAGAAGCCTGTGGCGCGGAGGGGCTCGGGTCTCAGATGATGCCTGGGGCGAAAGCCAAGGAGGTGATGACAAAGAAGTGCGCCATCTCAGCGACGGCGGAAAAGGAGGGAGAAGCGGAGGAGGTGCCAGAGGAAAAGAAGATCGTACAGAAAGACAAAAAGGTGGTGGGAGGAGCGAAAGAGGAGACGCCTGCCAGGGCTGGGAAGGGCAGTAACTGCATGGACTCTCTGGAGGCCATAGATCAGGAGCTGTCAAACGTAAACGCCCAGGCAGACAGGGCCTTCCTTCAGCTGGAGCGCAAGTTTGGCCGGATGCGAAGGCTGCATATGCAGCGCAGAAGTTTCATTATCCAGAATATCCCAGGTTTCTGGGTCACTGCCTTTCAGAACCACCCTCAGCTGTCACCTATGATCAGTGGTCAAGATGAAGACATGATGAGGTACATGATCAATTTGGAGGTGGAAGAGCTTAAACATCCCAGGGCAGGCTGCAAATTCAAGTTCATCTTTCAGAGCAATCCCTACTTCCGAAATGAAGGGCTCGTCAAGGAATATGAGCGCAGATCCTCAGGCCGTGTGGTGTCTCTTGCCACTCCAATCCGCTGGCACCGGGGCCAAGACCCCCAGTCTCATATCCACAGAAACCGAGAAGGAAACACTATCCCCAGTTTCTTCAACTGGTTCTCAGACCACAGCCTCCTAGAATTTGATAGGATTGCTGAGATCATCAAAGCAGAGCTGTGGCCCAATCCCCTACAATACTACCTAATGGGTGAAGGGCCCCACAGAGGAATTCGAGACCCAGTAAGGCAGCCAGTGGAGAGCCCGAGGTCCTTCAGGTTCCAGTCTGGCTAACTTCCAACCTGTGAAAAGCTCCTGCTCTCCCTTCCTTACCACCTCGTCTTGGATTCTGTGCTTAGGCAACAGCATTAATCTTCCATCTGCTTTCTCTTCACACTGGGTCATTTTGTTGATTCTTCTAAATCTTTAATCAGTTGCAAGATTGTCACTTATGTGTCTCTGCTCTTCTTCCTCTGGGCCTTTGTGCTGCCCTGCAAAGTGTTGTGTTCCAAGTGCATGGCTTTTCACCGCTTCTGTGCCAAGCACATGATGCTGTAGATACGCACTGACTCCCTTTGCATGCCTTGAGCCCTGTCTGTGACAATGGTCTTTTCCCAGGTTTTTAAGCGGTTACCTACCACACACAAAAAAAACTTTATGTATATCTTTGCAAATAAATAGCTGGCCTTCATTCTTAACACTGGCTGTGCTCCTGATACCTTGTACTCTCCAAGATCTTTGATTTTCACCATTGGAAGATGAAACTGATATAGATGATGCCAGCCATCAACCCAAACTGAACATTCCAGGCTACCACTAACTGGTTCCCAGCTGCTTTCATGGGCCTATGCCTTCCAGCCTGCTGGTTACTTGGCAGAATAAGCAGGTGGCTGGTGGGCAGCTTCTAGGCCTGAATGAGGTAACAGAGGAGAGATACACAGTGTCATATCTATCTTCTTCTGCCTTTGGTCACTCTGCATTGTGACCAGGTACTGGTGAGTATGTGGCCTACCCAAACCGGTTTTTAGTCTTTTGGCTGAGCCTTGCCTGGGTACCACTGCCTGGCTCGTCAGGAACTATCTGTGGACTTAAGCACCCAGGCAGTGCACAACCATCTCTGCAGTGTTACCCATGAACCCAGTTGGCTGTCAGGGAGGTTGGGCAGTCATGTGACAGGGCCCAAGGCAAGGCTGGAATCCTTCCAACAGCCTTTCGGAGTCCTAGCCAATAATTCGCCCTTAATCCAGACAACTTTGTTAAACATCCCCTTCCTGACCCCTCCTGTAACTGTTCGGAAGGTGACAAAGTTGCCAGGGTGCGGGCACCTAGGAAGATGTATTTCTGTCTCCTGCCCTCAGAAGCAGTGACAGTTCAGAAACAAACAGAACTGGCAAAGCAGCTTTTTTGTTTAATTTGGTCTCCCCTTGTGCTCAGGGGAGCAGCTACTGTGTAGTATATTATCCAGACCTCACTGCCTTAGCAGGGTCTAAATGTTTCAGAGGCAGACCTATAGGTAAGTTAATTATGGGCAGTGTTTTTTGGGCCAGCTTTGACAAGCCCTCCCTTTCCCCCCTATCTAAATTTACCAAACCCTCCTGTGTGTTTTTTGAGCTTTAGTTTGGGAGGAGAGACGGGCTGGCTTCACAGTGAGGGGTTCAAGAGAGACTCAGTGGGTTGTGATCTAAAGCAACCAAGTTAGCATGACTCTAAAGATGGAAATTATTTTTTTTTCCTTTTTTTGGTGGGGGTTGAAGTGGGCCTTGGACCACCTACAATCCCGTGGCAGCATAACCCTTGTCTTCTGTACCATTTTATTGTTGCCCTGATGTCCCAAGGGCCTCCCTCCTGCCTGGCCCTTGGCTGTCAGTCTGCTTCCCCATTTCATTCTCTGCTTCTGTCCTAACAAAAGAGGGAGCAGTCTGCGGTTTGCATTGTGCAGATGTCAAGCCTTCCTCCTAGGGGCTAGGGAGTATGTGGACGGAGTCTGGATTTCAGACCCAGTTCCAGTATGTGGGACAACGCGGCTGCCTTACTTATGGAGGGGTATGGTGGTGCTGATGAGATTCAGCATTATCCTTTCTTCTTTCTTTTTGGAGGCTTTGCCCTAAGTTCCCCAGGGCTTATGAAGTCTGGACACAGAGTGTAAGGGAGGGTGCTCTGAGCTGGAGAAACTGAGAGCCTGGAAACAAATGGCTTGGGAAGGCTTTTGGGGAAGACGAATCCTGCAGGGTTGTGGGTCTGGGGGAGGATGGGGAGGGCCCAGGATTCTTCCCAGGGGAAGTGAGAATCTGGTCGATGTTTAAAGAGGACGCTTGGAAGAGGGGTTTCTCCCCAGTTTTTCCTATATCTTTTCATTCACCAGATTTTTATACACAAACATGCAGGTGTAGTTTTTTTTATTATTCTAGGAGTGACCTTTTATATCTGGAAGATTGATGGTACGTGCTTATTTCATTATGAGTAAAATCCTATTAATTCCTTTCTCCATTTTTGCTTGCTGGCAAAATTTACATTTACAGGCCTGCTTTTGCTTGTAAGAGAATGTGTGTAAAAATATCAAACTTGTTTCCTGTGCAGTATGAACACTTCTGTGAATATTAATGTATCAGCTTGTTCTGGTCTCTTCATATATAGCTCTACCCTTAGAAATATAATTTGAATAATGTGATCTATGAAGAGCCTGAAATTTTGCAAATGTTGCTGTCTTGTGAAAGTAATCTCAAGAAAAATGTAATTGTCTTGCTATTTCTTGCCCTAGAAATAATGTGGTACTTGGTATTTTGTTGCTACCCCATGTATCTGTAGAATTGCTGTCACACTGAACGATGACCTTTAGTCCTTTTGTCTTCTATGTGCTTGAAGGAAAAATAAAATCTGCCACTCTGATGTAATTCTTGTTTTCATCAAAATAAAGATTAATACAATTCTGTCTATGTTGTCTAGGTTATTAAAAGGTTGAGAAAGTATTAAAATTATCAAATGGTCACAGTAAGCATCATCCTGAAGGTTAAAAAAGGTAACAGCAACCAAACGTAGTAAGATTTTTTTCCCCCTTGGAAAATGGCAAAATTGGCCCACTGCGGCTGCATACTCATGAACATTTTTTCTTTGCAACCAGCGAAGTTTTTGGTGGAAATTAAAGCGCCATATGTTGATTTGTCACTCATTGTTCTGCGTGCCACATCCTTGTTCACTAGCCCCTTTGACACAGGCTGCAGCGAAGAGGGGGGCCCCAAAAAGGGATTTGGAATGGGGTCCAGAACTCAAGATGTCTAGGAAATATTGGAGAGACATATAAGATGTTCTCACCCCTTCCCCCACAGGTGTGAGTTGGGGGAAGGGACACATGGAGCAGGAACATGCAGGGCTGTTTTGTACAGGCACAGCCTTGCAGCTAATCCATGGCATGGTCATTTCACATATCTATAGCCTTTGGAGGATCACTTGGATATGTTAAATACTGTGGCCATGCTTGGAGCCAGGGGGATGGAAGTCATTTCCCCCCAAGATGTAACTGGGGGGCAGGTCCTCCGAGTTACAGTGCCTGGGTGGGAGCTTGAAGATTGGCTCCATGACATGGGGCCACACCTGCCCAGACTCAACGATGGCAGCCCAGTAAACTTAGAATAATACAGGAATGCTGGCAGGTGTAACTGATTGTAGGAGGAGTTGGAAATGGGGCTGCAAATAAGGACTGGTGTGGGGAATTAAACCCAGACACAGCAGCCATTGGTGGAGAGAGCCAGGTGCTTTTTTGGCAGAGTGCAGACCTCCTCTTGGTTTTGCTAGGGAAAGAGATCCACGTAGTTTGGCCAGAGTGCAGACCCCCGCAGCTCTGGTGAAGGAAAGAAGAGACTTTGCCTGGAAAATGGCTACAAGGAACTCTTGCCAATAGACCATGAGAAGGTGCCACATGGCTTTGGATTAATTGGAGATCCTGCCTGGACGGGGACACACAATGAACGGTGGCAGGAGCCTGGATCCCAGACATTCAGACATTCATTTCCTGAGTTAGGTACCCCAAATTAGGGCAGGGGGAGAAGGAAGCACTGTGGGCATCTGTGGGTATCCTAAAGGACTTTGATATTTTAATGAAGACATTAGGTCACTACTTTAAGTCTGTATAGCATGAAATAAACATTTGCTTTCTTTTTCACAAATCTCTGGCATTGAGAGATGTCTCTCCAAGAGGGTGGGGGACATAAGGAACCTTGGCCCCTGCTTGTTCCGTAACACTTTCCCGGCCCTGGTCTCATTCTTTTCTTAATGAGCTTAAAATAGACTTTTGGCAGAATTAACTATTGTATACTCTGTAAGTGCTACCTAAATTCTTTTACTATAACAGTCTGGTACTTCACAGGGAATGAAAAAAAAGTGACAAATGTAATGTCTAGAGACAGGTAATTTCAGGCATCACAACTTTAACCGTGAGGACTGTTTTGCTCTCTGGCAGCTACAACCCGAAGGCGTGGGAGGTGACTACTTCTGCACTCTCTGTAGTAGAGAGGGCTATGGACGCTGCAAGATCTGGACATGACCAAGGATTAGCCATCTAAAAAAATTCTTGACAAATGGTCCAAAGTTACTGATGTGAGTTAGAGACAAATCTATTGTTAAACTGACTTGCTGACTCTTGGCACAAGTCTTTCTTGCAAGTTATAACTGCTGAAGTGTACTTTTTCTAGGCCTGGAGAACTTTAAGTGTTGAAGAGCTAAATTTCGTTTTGCAAGTTCTACACCCATCTCAATCCTAAATTCCCTTTACAGGGTTCACGTTACCTTTCCAATGCAGTGATGGATGGCTGCATTGTCCTCCACCTGTTGCAGGTATTCTCTCCTTTATCCCGTTCTGGATATAATTTAAAAAATGTAATTTGTTGTCCTTGGTTTATTATCTCAGCTTCAGTCTGAACATTAATATTTATTTTTCTGTCAGGCTGGCACCATTTGTTTGTCAGAGATTAACATGCTTTCCGTTCTGCTTAGTCTCAGAACAGAAAACACGAATAATATTAGACTCAGGCATTCTCTAGGCTGTACTTACCAACCAATTGGTTTACTCCTATAGCCTTGTTTTATTGCTTTGCATTGCACCCTTTTGTTTTTCTTCCTCAACTTTAGACACAATTTTATTCTTTATGCAGACCTCCAAAAGAGCTGATAGGTTCTCTCATCCTCCTATCCTAAAGAAGAACCTATTATTTTGGTCTGCGCAGGTCATACTGCCCTGTGAGAAGTAGTGGCCTGGTCCTGACGTAACAATCTTACCATTTCTCTAGGCATTCAGCTCAGACACCAACAGGCCAGACCACCCACAAAAGGGTTCTTTGACCTTCCTTACTCAGCTGCCCCCATTACTCTTGCAGCTGCTTCTGCTTTATCTCCAGTTGAATCGTTTCTTTAAATCAGTTTTCATTATTTAAAACAAGCCCAGATGACCTGTATTCCTAATTATTCAGTTCCCTGCCACATGGAGTCACAGTCTGAGCCTGGGATATCTGATTTTGCTTCAGATACACATTCCCTGGCTTGACAATCTCAAGATGTATCAGGCATTTCCACATGTGTTCCCACGTTAACTTCATAATCCTGACATAAGTTTTACTATTTCCTTTTAAATAGTGGTGAAAACAGAGGTTCAGAAAGTTGAAGTAAATTGCCCAAGTCGCACAGACTTAAGTTTCCTGATTTCAGGCTATCTTCTGTACCACATAACTACTAAAAATGACATAAAAACAAAACCCTATTGATGTGCACATGCAGTCCTCAGATGGTTCTTAACCCGTTCATGAATGGTTTCTGAAAGGCATTTTTTATCATTTATTTTAATTAATAGGCGTTTCCACATCACGGATTAAAACACTCCTGAATTTACATATGTAATCTTGATGTTTGCTGCATAAATGAGTAAAAGGAGCAGTCTGTTTGTAAACAGAAGTACTGGGTTGGCCAAAAAGTTCTTGTGGTTTCTTCTGTGAAATAGAAGATAAAATGAAATACAAATTTTCATTTTGACCAACTATGTTGGTTTGGATATTTTGAGTATGTCAGCTATCTCCCACATGATATAATGTAGATTGTTTTCATTTAATGTCATGATTTGAACACTATTAACTTCAACTGGTCTACCCAACCATGGAGCATTGGCCAGCAAGAATTCTCTAGCGCACAACTTTGTAAACCACTTTGGGCACATTTGATCAGTCATGGCACCTTCTCCTCACACTGCACAAATCTTTTGAGGGGTTTCAGTTGCATTTTTACTTTTTGAAATAATAAAACACGATATGCTGAAAATAATGTGTATTTCCTTCCATCTTTAATATTAACATGGTTACACAAAAATTTACCAATTTTGATGTTTTCTTTTAATGCACACTGATATGATAGCTGTCACAATACAATCTAACAAAACTTTCTAATGAAGTTAAAGACAGCTAGGTACTACTAGAGCCATCTTCTAGAAAAACCAAATGAACTTTTTGGCCAAACCCATAAATGCACCAAAAGGAGTTTAAATATAAAATTTTGCTGCTAAGAAACATAAAGAAATACATCTATTAAACTTAGAAAATGTTCTTAGAATATTTTTTAATTCAACATGGTGATTCCTTTTAACTGGCATTTAGGAATGTATTCCTTCTCTATTCATTAAACTTTGTTAAACTTTATTAAGCTTTGATCTTTACCAAGAAAGTACCAAGGCCAAAGTACTAAGAAAGTTTTGTTTTGCGTATTTTTTTAAGTGAGTCTGAGAACGGGTGCCTGGTGCCAGAACCTGATTGTCAAGCATTCTGTGCTGTTGTACTTCTTTTACGTAATGACTCAAATTTTCTACCGGCCCAGATAGCTCATCTTCCACTAAGTTTACTTGAACTAGCTTTTATTTTTCTTTCTCCATTTTGGCTTCCTCAGCATAAGAGAGAGAAATTTGCTAAGTACTCAAGGTGAACATTTAAACCTGACTATGAAGAAAGAGTAGACCTGCTTATTGATGCCTCTAGCCCATGTCTCTTCCAAGAAGACCAGACTTCATTATCTACTGCAGGACTCCTGTGATTGCTGGTTCTCTATTTCACTCTTCCAGGTAAGTTCTATGTTATAGGTATGCTTTAATATTTTTTATAAAACTGTCAGTTACTTTAGGACAGAGCTTGTATGTTCATTTCTCATCTCTTATGTGTCTTAGCATGGTGTGATTATGAAGTTGAAGAGTGGTTTTAGATTAAGAAGTTGCACCAGTCTAGAACCAATGTTGGAAGATTTTACCAGTCAACTAAGAGCATGCTTTTTGGTGTCAAACTTGGGCTCATGTACAGACTCTGTTTCTTAGTAACTATACAACCTGGAGGGATTATATGTGGTTGCTGTAGCGAGTAAATAAGGCACATCAAATAGCCTGGCAGGGAGTTGGCACTCATTACTATTATATTTTTACCAAATTTATGAGAACAATTCTAGAGACCATCAAGAATTTACCTTTTTGAATATATCCAATATGGACTGGACCATGCCTAAGGATTTTCAAGGGCAGCAACTGTTCCACACTAGGTGTTTTCTCTCAACCATATCCCAGTCTTGCACTAATCTGGAAGCCATCTCTATGACAACCTTGTTATCAAGAGCCGGAGAAGAGGTAAGCAATGCTATTGCAACATCACATTTAAAAAAACAGCTATTCATGTCAGTTATATCCAAGGATATAGTTTGACATTCCACTTTACGCTGATCTGTTACATAAAATAATCACATGGATTTATTTTTTTGCATTCAAACAAGTTCACTAAAAGTATGTGTATAAATACATACATTATATATGCTTTAAGTATGTATATAAAGTTATTGTGGGAGTAATGAGAGAATAAGAGACTAAGATGGAAGTGATAATTTCAATTTAGAGTTTAATAAACTCAACTTGAATCTTACGTGGTAATTCTAGGTTCACTGAAGTCTTTGCTACCTCCATATTTTAAACACCAAATTCTGACAAATTATTTGACGGCGGTGCCATTCAGGTCTTTCCTCTTCAGGTGAGACCAACAGTGGCCTGCAGAGAGAATCCCATCGCCTTTGACAATTGTGTTTAGGTATCTTTTAAAAGGATGATGAGTGTTTGCCTGTGTACTAAGATGAAACTTAAGTCTTGTGCCTACTTGCATAATTTTCCTGCTTTGCTACTCACAAATTTATTTAGAATATATAGCTTTCTTCTCTGAGATTCTCTTTTTAATATTTATATTGCCATTTTTGGATGATCTTAAATCTTCATGTCCAATTAGAAACACTGGCATTTTTAGAAGTGAAATAAACACTTTAATTACAGCATTCATTATTATCGCTGACTATCCCTTAGAAAGGTGGAAGCAAACTTGGAAATAAACTCTAACCTCCTCTTTCGACAAGGTAGGAAAAACTGAGTTCAACTTAGGTGGTTCAGCTGTTCAGATTCTTTAGGTAGATACTAGTATAAGTAGGATCAGAACTTCTTGAGTGAATTTTTTTTTACTCCATAGTGGCATGAAAAGTGCAATTAACTTCTCATTTTTCATATTTACAATAGTAGTTTATATGCATTTAAAGATGGATTGTTCTTTGTCATTTACAAAATAAACATGTGTAAGGAAAAATAGGTTTATTTTTGAAAGAAATCAAATGTGTACTGCAAGTATACAGGAGACAGCATCTGTCACTTAGCCCTGCACTTGATTTGTATGCTCATCATCATATTCCACTGAGATTTGGAAATCAATTCCAAACACATTATTATATTCTTATTAGGTATCAAAGAAAGCTACTGACTTTGAGAAAACAATTTCAGTAACTATTTACCTACCCTGAGATACTCATCCCCACCACAGATATGGAATTATTTTTGAGCATTTAAAATCTTTAACAAAATATTTATCTTTTCTTTGTATATATCAATATGCTAAATTCTCTGCTACAGTCCAGGTAAAACAATGATGGTGATCAGTGTGTTCCTGTTATTGTTCATGGTGAATGATGGAATTAGAACATAAGAAGAGCCAGGATTTATATTGTAAACGTTTCTGCCTCCAAAGGTCCTACAACAAACAGCCGTGAATAGGACTGCACAGCACACAGAACACAATAATCCCGGATGGTCCTTATAATGATAAAGCCTTCTAAAGCAGTTTTTCTCACTTTCTTTTCATTACCACCTGCCCCACCCAAGGAGAAAAAATTCACTCAAATTTAATTAATAAATTTAGCTTTAAATTATATGTCTCCTTAATGAGAAGTATTAATGCTACAAAATAAGATTTTTTGGGTAATGTTGAGCTCTGTGGGGCTGGAATCCATTGTGTTCTCTTTTATTTTTCTTTCGTGGGAACCCTAATGGGCAACATTGGAGGTTGAAATAGTAGGCTTCTGGTGTCCTCTCCGTTCCACACAGGCTGTGTGGCATCAGAAGAAATCCCGTCTCCATTCCTTGCTTTGGAAAACAAAAGAACAGCATAAAACCTGATACCTTGGAAAAATCATTTACTGTCACTGGACTCAGTGTCCTTGGGTATAGAAGGGGTCAACATGCCTCTCTCTCCCCAGACCAAATGAACCAGTCTCTGGTGGTTATGGTCAAGCCAGTGGTTCTCAAACTTTAGTGCGAATCACACTGTTATTAAACACAGATTTCCAGAGTTCCTAATTCTGTAGGTCTTGGGTGTAGCCTGCAAATCTGCATTTCTACCAGTTCTCAGGTGATGCTATGACAGTGGTTTGGGACCACACTTTGAGAGCCACTGGCCTAGGCTTAGGTGTAAATATGTGTGTGTATGTGTGTGTCCCCAGGTGAATTCTAATCTCAGAACTACTGGTACACAAAACAGTAGTAAGGTGATTTTCAGTTCTAAGATACTGAGATCTTGATATAATCAGTTATTGGGCATCTAGAGAAAGAGGATCTGTGGAAAAAACATCAATTTCTTGGTCAATTTTCATTAAGAATTTGTTCCTATAAAGCATGTTTTTTTTTTAAATTAACATTTTACAGTACATTTGCTGCATATACAGTTCTTCACTTCATTGTTCAGTAAAGGTCAAGTTATTTGGTTGTCAGTGATTCGCCATTTGCTAAGACTAGCGGAGGACTTGGATAGTAGCCAGCTGTTTTTGAATTGCTTGAGGAGAACCTTGTAAATTTGTAGTCCAGGGGTAATTCTGGAAAACAAAACAAAATACAACAAGTTGACCACTATGCCATTCAGATCTCTCCTCTGCTGATGAGATCAACAGGGACCCTTTCCTTCAAGTTACAGGGCTGATTTCTTTAAAAGGAAAATTATTGGTAAAAGGAAGACATATGTTTAGGTTATCTTTCTTTAATGTTATATATGTAAGCATGGAACAAAATGAAAAAAATAAACTGTTTGTTTGAAACCAATGAGATATTTCAATGAGTAGGAAGTACTGACATACACTGGATTAGTATACTGTCATAGAAGGGTTTTTTGCAAGGTCACACATATGTTAGGGTTGTTGTCGTCATCATCATCATCATCAGATAAATATCTTGCTTTTTCATTCATATCCCTTCTGTGAGGCAGAAAATGCAGCTTGGTGTTGTCATCCCCAGTTTAGGAAAGAAGAATCTGAGGTTTAAAAAACTTCAGACTTTTACTTCTCAACTGGTGCTAAAACAACCAGAAAAGCTGGATGAAATATAAACATCAAAGTGAAGTCACTGGAGAGCTGAAGAGACAACCAAGACGTGAGAACACACGATTCCTGGGAAGGGGTAATAAGCAGAAACGTGAGCCTTTCCTGCCACAGCTTTTCCCTTAGGCATTGAATTCTGTCTGGGGGTGGGGACAGTTACTGGCACAGAAAAACCAGTACAGCATTTGTCATCTTTCAGGGCTGCAGAGGAAAACTGAGGGAGTTTAAAGGAGGGGGTGAAGAAATGGACTCAGCTGGTTTTGTCCTCCAGCCCTTTCCCCAAGTCTAAGGGGACCTTCAGGAAGCTAAGGAGCAAGCAGAAGCACACACCTCTGTAAAGCAGAGTGGGGTATTCGGCAGTTTCTTGGTGCTGAAAAAGAGGGAAGAATTAACTTCTGAGAGAGGAAGGGGGCCCAGGTGAGTGTCTTAGATTTTCAGAATATATTTCTGAAAACAGAATTTATTATTATGAAGTGATTATCTTTCGTGTTAATGGATTTATTTTCTTTAATGTCTACTTTGTTTCATATCAAAACAGAGGGCTCTAACTTCCTTTTGATTGGTGTTACTGTGGTATCTCTGTCCTCTGACATTCAAACCTTCAGTGTCCCTGTGCTCCAGCGATGTCTCTTATCGACAGCCCATAGTCGGGTTTTATTTCCTTCAGGATTTTAATTGGAGTATTTAGCCACCACCTACATAGAATGTAATTGCCCAGGTTAAATCTATGATTTTACTGAATGCTCTCCCTTTGTCTTGCTTACTAATTTTTTAAAAAAGATTTCATTTATTTTAAGAGAGAAGGAAAGGGAGAAAGAAAAACATTGACCAGATACCTCCTGCATGCCCCCAGTCGGGAGGGGGGTGCTGGCCCACAACCCAGGCATGTGCCCTGACCAGGAATGGAACCAGTGACCTTTTGGTCAGCGCAACAACACCCAACCCACTGAACCTCACCAATCAGGGCAGCCTTGCTTATTCTTAATATTCTTTTTTTCTCCCTTTTTTAAATTTTAAAGTTATTTTACATAATTAGAGCAGGATGTGTAGTATTACAAGTCTTTTGATCACAACACACGTTTTTCACTTGCCACTGTCATACTCTTACCCTTTATCATACAATACAAGGACTTAAATACTTGAACTCCAGCTGTCCCTCCTTGGGATTTACATGCCATTATTGTCATGTTTTCAAATTCTCCATTTAAACTCCATAAGACTTAATTTTTTATTGCTCCCAACAGGATACATCCCTTTAATTTATTTACATGTCTGTCCTTTTGTTTCCCTACATTCCCATCTCGTACGTCCAGTCTTCCAACAGGGACCATTCTTTCTTTTGCTGAACAGCACCCTTTAGTATTCACTGTAGTCTCGGTCTTCTGGGGATGCGTTTCCTCCATTCTTGTCAGTCTGAAAATCTTTTGACCTGTTTTCGGGTGTACTAACTCACTTTTCAGTTGTGTTTAATCTGCTGTTAAACCCGTCCATTAAGTTCTTAATACTTCAATCATAAAATTTCCATTCTTTTTATAATTTTACGTTTCTACTGAATCTCTCATTTCTGTACTTGGCCATAGTAAAGCTGGTTATTTCTGTTAGTCTCATATCCTTGTGTGCCTGGCTATTTTTTATTATCTGCTGAAGCTTATATTGTTTTTAGGAATCATTTGAGTTCTAGAATGTTGTATTCCTCAAGAGAATATTCATCGGTTTCTACCCAAGGTGCCTTGGGGTGTTACCTATCCAGACTCGCCTGAATCCCACTTTAGGAATTCACCTAATTTAAAGCTGAGCTTCAGTCCTACTTCTCATTCCTCCTTCCTCTGAGCTAAACTCCTTCAGGGTCTCCACACAGACTGAGAGGTCCCCTGGCCCATCCCTCCGCTGGCAGGCTCAGCTCAACCCGCTACCTTCTATCCCTGTAGGCTCACAAAGCTACTAAAAGGCCCCACTCCCATTCTTTGTGCTCTCTGTTGAATCAGAAAATGCTCAGGGGAAAAGCAGCCCCCATCCTCGGCCCCCTTCTTGGCCTGCTGAGCTTAGCCTCTTATCCTGGTAATTTTTCCCTACCTTTATCCTAAGACTCCAAACAGATTAAACAAAATTGCCCAGCTTTTGTCGTTGGCTCCAGGAGACAGGCGGCTCCTAATTACCTAGAATGTCATATCTAGATGTTTCCTGGAAAAACAAATGTCATAGAAACATTTCTTTTTTTTAAAAGGCAAGAATTCTAGTAATTAAGGTCATTACTGTCCAGTAACGGGTCAAGACTTACAGGTATTTTCTCCCTTACCTGCTATTGCTTCAATACTTGGAATTGCAATAGTGCTGTAAGTACTGATTCTCTTGCAGGACCATGTACAAACTGATGAGTCTTCTGTATTTTCCAGTCCAGAAATGGAGTCAATAAAAAAAGAGCCCCATTTATTAGATAATGAATATAGAGGCTTTGCCTTCTGTCCCTGCAACAAGAGAACAGAACAATGAAAACTGTGATTAATGTCCAATCTCAGAAGTTTTTCTCCCACCAAGTAAATCAAAATAAAAAATCTGAAGGAATTTCAGTTGTTTTTCTTAACCAAACTGTATACCATATAGAAAGTAAAGGCTTAGACTTCCTTTAAAGCATCCTCCCCTGGCTGTGTTGGGAACCCCTCTGTATCACTGGAGTCGGGCCTGGATGCCGTCCAGCATGTTTTCCTTGACCTCCTGCACTCGGGGGTGGGGTGAGGTCCCTCCTCCACCTTCCCACACCCTGAGTTTATGCCTAATGCACTACTTCCCCTACTGTCTCACAACTATCACACCATACTTTTTACCCTTGAAGCTGAATAACTACATAAGGCTAAGAACTTTCTTATGTATTAATGTATCCCTAAGGCTTAGGGCCCAGGACAGAGCAGACAATAGGAATTGCAGACTAAATTAAAGACCCATTCAAAAAGTACTTTGGTGTTTTATAAGTATGGCATAAAATTAAGAATTGAAAAAATCCTATCCCATCCATATAATCTGGCTGATAAAGATCTGTGCCATTCTTTTGTGATGCAAATGTCATTTTGGGGCTCACGGAGTCCCAAATATGCCTAGATTCACAGTTCTTTGTCCTGGAACTCACTTTGTAAAGCAAGATGAAAATATGTTTGCAGGTGATGGTGTTTGAAAATCATTCAGTAAGAACCTATCTGGATTCACCAGAGACATTTAAGAGCAGAATTAGAATATGAATATCTATACTCATGTGTGTACATTTAAGGTGTATTGCAATATAATTTCTCAATGTCCAAGTAGCAATTTATAGGGTAAATTTTATGTAGTTAACTATCTTTTACAAAATAATGAGTCTACAAAAAATGATGCACATCACACGTATAGAAAATGGCCTGCGAACAAGTGATGGAATCTAGGCTCCTCCCTACTCCTATAAAGAGAGGAAAACAGACATATCTACCCTTCTTGTTCAATGTAATATGGGTGCAACTGTGGTCTAAATAGTTGTGTTCCTCCAGAATTTGTAGGTTGAAAGCTTAACCTCCAAGGTGTTATTAGGAGGCAGGGAGTCCTTGGGTCGTGAGGGTGGATCCCTCCTGAATGGGGTCAGTGCCCTTACAGAACAGACTCAGAGAGCCTCCCCCATCAGGCATGTGAGGACGTGAGGGTTCAGTGAAAAGAGGGTGGTCCTGAGGGAGCAGGTCCTCACCAGGCACTGAACTGACCAGCTCCATGACCTTGGACTTCCAGATTTCAGAACTGTGAGAAATAAATGGTTGTTATTTATCAGCCAGCCAATATATGGTTATAGCAGCCCAAACAGACTAACAGATGTAATCTTTGTTCATCTTGATGTTGGGGTGTTTAATTACTCTTTTTCTCAAATATATCATTAATCAAAAGAAATCATGCTGTTTTTTTAATCCTCACCTGAGGACTTGCTTATTGATTTTAGAGAGGGGAAGAAAGGGAGAGAAACATCCGTGTGAGAGAAAGAGATCAACTGGTTGCCTTTCATATGCACCCTGAGTGGGGACCGTATGCGTCCTCACTTGGGACGGAGACAACCTGAGCTCGTGCCCTGATCGAGAATCAAGACTGACTTTTCAGTTTATGAGATAATGCTCCAATCAACTGAGACACACTGGCCAGGGCTGATGCCATTTTCTGAACATCCACAAGAAGCACTCCTATTTTAGTTTAGGACTTTACCAAGTTCCTGTCTTCTCTTCCCTTTCTCTAGTGTCTATCCTGTAGACAGACATTCACCGGTGTCCCAATCTTCCTACGGATATGGTGCACACCCACTGAAAATGTACCTGCCCTTCAATGTTTACTTCACATTCTACATTCTTTATGAAATTTTCCCTAATTCTCCTCAATGAAGTATCTGCCATGCCTCATTTAAGTTATTTTTTAATAACTCACATTCTCTCCAGGCAGTTAGGCTTTATTTGCATATTCCAGTCTCCACCCTCTTTATCCTTAGTCCATAACGAATTCTGTAAAAAGGAAGTGTGTAGGGCCCAATGATAAATCCCTGATAAACTTAGCAGTCAGTCTTGCACAAGTTAAAAACTCAGCATGCGCATATGTCCAACAAGAGAACAGCGTTAGAGTGGCTATCTCCTGAATGAATGGCCTTACTGAGAGATCTCTGCCAATCCAATAAGCTCACTTATGTTGGCTACTTAGGGTAAACATTGTGAGTGTTCTGAAATATGTGGAGTTCACTAGGAAGAAACATAATTTCTTTCCACTTTATTTTGGGAACTAAAATCTTCAAGCTGTTGACTCACCATTTCCAGTCTAGAAGCCAGTGATCAATTCTTTGTTTACGGTGTGCTTATAACTAATTAACAAGAAAAAAAGGATGGGGGGTAGGGGGGTTACTGCAGGCACCCTGCAGGGGGCACCGTTCCCACTGACTGCTCATTTTCTCATTACTGCACCTCCGTTCTCAATCATTTGAAGAAACCAAATCTCTCTGTACTGAAAGCCTTTCCCAAAGTCACTCAGGTTTGCTGGAAGGTGGTTTTAAAGCTCTTTCTTAACTCAAGTAAGTCCCAAAAAAACTTCCCATGTCACACTGAAGACTAAATGCTAATCAATGGAAATTGCATAGCAACCTGATGCTTTTATCCTAACATTTTGTTGGGCCTGGTTATAGTTATTTTTTTTTAATAATAGATTCTATTTTAGAACAGCTTTAGGTTTACAGATAAATACAGCAAAAAGTACAGAAAATTCTTATAGGTTTCCCCCATGCCCCAGACTCCGCTCTGCCTCTCCCACTAACATCCTGCATTAACTGTTGTGGTACATTTGTTACATCTGTTTAACCAATACTGACACATTACTATTGACAAAAATCCATTGTTTACATCTGAGTTCACAGTTTAGGTTGTGTAATTCTATGGGTTTTGACAAATGCACAGTGGCAGGTGTCCCCCATTGTGGGACCACACAGAGTAGTTTTGCCACCATGAATGTCCTGTGCTCCCTCTATTCACTCCCCTCCCCTCAAACCCACAGCACTCACGGCCCTTTTCACTCCCCTTTCCAGGCTGTCCCCTGGTTGGAATCAGACAGTATGTAGCCTTTTCAGGGCGCCTTTTCAGATTAGCTTCTTTCACTTAGTAATATGCACTTAGGTTCTTCTATGTCTTTTGGTGGCTTGATAGCTTATTTCTTTTTTATTGGTATTTTTTCATATGATATTTGTTCTTTGGACTTGAGGTTTTCCTTCTTTATAGTTGTTCCACTGGGATGAATTTAGAAGTATTCATTTTATTTTCTGATCTTTTCTGTTTAGCATTATTTCCCCTTTCTAGATTTATGGTACCTTTTACTTTTCTTTACCTCATGTCTTCACCTAAGTTCACTCGGGAGGCTCAGGAGTTAAGTCTAAAGGAGCTACTGATGTGGTTAAGTTAGACCCATCAAGAGAGCACAAGAGCTTTTGTGGCCAAGGAGAAGAGAGAGGGTGTAACTACTGTGAGTTAGGATCTGGCAGCCTCAGCACCAAGCAAAACCATCCAGGCTGCCACAGACGGCACTGGATGGAAGCAGAGGGCAGGGAAGACAGATCTGTGTTATCTTGGCATCATTTAAAAATTATCAGTAAGACCAACTACAGATCGGAGACCGCAAGACCGCAATAACTGCTAACAGATTTCATCTCTGGGCACAAACCAACCCTTTCTAAGACAAGAAAGAAAGCGCTAAAGGGAACTCTTACCTCATATTTCCCCTTCTTCTCTAGGGGCTCCGATTCCTCAGGCTTCCAGTCCCTGTCCCCTCTGAGCTCTTCCAGGATGAGGACTGTCTCCCAGTTACTATAGTGACGGGCTGGGAAAATATCTGAATGCATGCTGTCCCCAAAGTAAACAACCTGTAGGTCAGACAGAAAGTTCTGTTTGAGGCATTAGAATCGTGAAAAAGAGTGGTGGTCGTTTCATGGAAGACAAAACAATTCCTCTAAAAGTTGTGTAAATGTCTTAAACTCCTTTGAATAACTACAAGTGACAGTCAACTTGCCCCATTTGGTCTGCAGTGTGCCAGGTTTATTTTAAGAAGTTACACAATGCATACACAGGTAGAAAAAAGGCAGAGAATAAGTGATTTTGATCATTTTTTTCCTGGAGAAGCAAGGGTCTGTATGTGCCCTAGTAAACCTGCCCCTAGAACTGAAGAACTGGTGAACTATTACAGGCGACTGTCACAGTGGGCCAGATGAGCACCAGTGCACACCACAGCCACTTCCCCAAAGCTGCCCAGGCTCCTTCGGGTTCTGCTGAAACAGAACTTCTGAGAGTGGGGGTGGGCGAGTGGACTCTGCGAAGCTCCCCTGGTATTCGCAGACTGTGATACTCATTGATCTAGTCCACACGCCTCTTACAGGTGAGAACACGAGGTAGAGGGAATGTGAGTTCGAACCTGCACGTCCAGGTGCACTGTCCACTAAGCCCCTCAGCCATTCCCAGGGGGCTGTCCCAACACAGGCGCCCGTGGAGCAGGGCTGATACCCACTGACCGCTCCTGCCCACAGGGCTCCTGGCAAACCTTTTTCAGAGGAGGGGTCCTGCTGTTAAAAATGTATCGATGTCTAACATCAACCATGTGACCAGGATGGTGTCCAAAGCAAGTGGGTCTTCAGGCTGGTCTGCATTGTAATTTCAGTTATTGCTTATTTCACACATAAAAACTTCCTTTAGGGACCATTACTAGGATCTCATTCCTCCAGTATCCCGCACACTAATCCGGTGCATCCCCTAGATCTGCGGCCTCTTGCCTGGAATTTCTGCTCTTTCTGTTTCAGAAAAAGACCTAGTCTACAAGAGCAAAGGAAAGGCCTAGTCTCCTAAACCAGAAGGCAAGAGCACAGACTGGAAGATAGGCAGAGGCAGATTATTCTTCCCACAGATAACTGCGCTAAACGCATTTAGAGTCAGGGTTGGTTTTACTTTATAATAGTTTATGTCTGCAAGTGGGCATCAAGGACCCCGCCTCTGTGGGAAAATACCTTGGGTTCAGGTTTGCCAGTCATTTTCTTCAGAAGTTCGTAAAGGTGGACAGCGTTCCCTTGGGAGTACCAGCCGGGTTTGTCCAGAGATGGCAGTGCCTCCTGCTCCTCGTCATCCTCTGAAAATACAGTTTGACAGTCATGCACCTTAGTCGGCTGGGAGCACCCGGTCGGGCAGACCACACTCAGGCTGCAGGGCCTGTATTAGATGGGACCGCGCAGGGGCGGGAGTCAGCGGTCAGTGAGCCCCTCCTGCTACGAGCACTTTGCAAACATAGAAATAAATAATATTTCTGTGTGCAAAAGTTTAACAAAAATTTGTGGAATGGAGTAATTACAGATGTAGAGCAGGTATAAAGCACAACAAATATGAAAGGACTGCAGATAAAAATTTGAGTACTTAGGTATGTACTAAGTTTGTGAAGAGAGAAAAACATTAAAATTATTTTTCTGGCTTAATACAAAGAGCATTATTTAAGTCCTTCATAACAGACTGTTTCTTAATATCAAGGATTTCTACTAGACCAGGGCTGCTTAACATCGACACCCCTGAGGTTTGGGAGCAGGTGATTCTTTGTTGGTGGCAGTAGGGTGCCTAAGCAGGAGGCTGTTCAGCAGCCTCCCTGGCCTCTTCCCACTAGATGCCAGGAGCATCCTGCCTCCCAAGTCGTGACAACCAAAAAATGTCTGCAAACATCGCCAAATTTGCCCTGAGGAGCAAAAGTTTCACAGGGAAAAACCAGTATCCTAGACCATTTCATCAGCATATATGCATATCCTGATACCTTCAGTTAAAAAAATAAAGCCACATGCTCTTGATCTTATATTGTGTTTCAGTTCAAAGCTCAATTCTTTGACTGTCTTTACAGCTTAGGTTCTGCAAAGAGGTGTCCATTCTCATTGGTTCCACTGTCTCCAGTCAACCCTTCAAGACACTGCCGTCTGCTCTCTCTCCCCCACTGCTCATCAGGACACCGGCCATCTCCGTCCGGCCCACTCCGAGGGGCTTTTCAGTAGCACTGCCCTAAGGACCACTCGCCTCTTTCCTCTCTGGCTTCTGAACACTGCACTCTCCTGTTGCCCCCACTATAATCTGTCTGCTGCTAGGCTGCTGTCTTGCTTCTTTGTCCTTAAAGTCAGAGTGTGTCAAAGCTTGCTCTGGGTCTTTTGCCTATCTACATCCTTTCTATATTTGATCTCGTGTAAGCCCATGGCTTCAATACCTCTCTATGTGCCGATGCCCCCCCAGTTTACGTCCTGAGCCCACACCTGTTCTTTTGGACTCCAGGCTCGTTTATGTAATTTCCTAATTGACAGCTCTAGTTAGACGACTGTGAGGCATATTAAATTTAATATGATGAAAAGTGAGCTCTTAACAGTCATAACCACCACCCACCCACACTCCTCTTCTGTATTCCTCCCCGTGGCTCTAAGTGGGATCACCATGTGCCCAGCTGCTCATTGAGAAAAAAAAAAACAAAACGAACAACCTGGAAGTCATTTTCAAACATTCCTTTCTTTTCATCTGCTCCTACAGCACCCCCAAGTCCTGCGTTTCCCACCTCGACAATGTTTCTTCAATATACAGGGTGGTTTACAGTTGTTTGTATGGAAATAATAAACAATAAGACAAGGAAAAACTCTGTGATTAGCGCACCCCGACGGTAAGCCTGCTCCTGCCGCTGGGTGTACTTCTCTGTCTCCAGGACGACTGCCTCAGACCCAGCGACCACAGTCTCTCACTTGGGACACTGCAGTGTCTGGGTCTTCCCCTCTTTCTGTCCCTCCTCATGTCCAACCCATTCCCCATCTAGCAGCTAAAGGTTCCCTGTATCAATCTTCCACCTCAAGTGAATAGCTTCAGATGGCTCATGGGATAAAACCCAACCCCCTTTCCACAGAGTCTGAGGCTGCCTGGGGTTAGGGGCTCCCTAAGCCCACCCCTCACCCTCCCATGACTAGGTGCCAGAATCGCAGGCCTCTTCTGTCACTGGAACTCCCCCAAACTACTCCCACTCTGGGTCTTTGCATTAGCTTGTCCCACTGCCAGGAACTGTCACCCTTGGCTCCTCTCGTTACTCATCCCTCAGGTCCCTCCTTGCAAGTCACCTTACCTGACCTTCCGGACAGGCCCGCCCTGGCGAGCCACTCGAGGTGGCCTCACCAGGCCGTTACTTCCTTCAGAACACGTAACAAGACCTCTGGGTTTCCTGACTTGCTTTCGTGTTTGTTTACGCATCTGTCTGGTGCCCTAAGGACACCTCAGTGTCTGACAACTACTGCTGTGAAGCCGCATCTGAATTTCACTGTTTGTGTGCCCCTCAGTATGTAGAGAACCAAGCTACTGTGAACTGTCTTACACTGAATGGTGCTTTTAAATATTTTATTTATTTACTTTTAGAGAGAGAGGGAGGGAGAAAGGGAGAGAATCAGCAATATGTGAGAGAGACATGGATCAGTTGTCTCTTCTACACCAGGGACCTGGCCCCCAACCCGGGCAAGTGCCCTCACTGGGAATTGAACCGGCAACCTTTCAGTTTGCAGGCCGACACTCAGTCTACTGAGCCACACCAGCCAGGGCTGAATAGTGCTTTTAAATAGCACTAAGACACTGAAAGTTAGAAATACTGCATCAGTACATTTTATTTTTCCTTTATGAAGCGGTAGTATTGTTTTACCTTCGCTTTTCACTTAACATAAACTGTAGGTATCCTGTATCAGTATACAAAACCCCTCCTCATTATGTTTTATAACTGCATTGTATTTTGGCATGTGTAAAAATCATCATTAAGCCAGTCCCTTACTGATGATCACTTAGGTAGTTTTCAATTTTTTGTTACTATAAACAGTGTTGCTCAGATATACAATTAAAAAATTTTAATTACAGTTTTCATTCGATGTTATTTTGTGAATGTTTCAGGTCTACGGTACAGTGGTTACAAAGTGTCCCCGATATTTCCAGTGCCCCCCTGGCACCACCCACAGTGTCTGCAGTGTTACCCACCACGCTCCCCATGACGTACTTCACGCCCCTGTGACTGGTTTCATAACTGGCCATTTGCACTTCTTACTCCCTTCACCTTTCTCACTCTCGCCCTGACAAGTCTGTTTCCGCCTTTCATTCCCGCTCTCCATCGGCCTCTCCTGCGGGGGACAGTCTGACCGCCCTGCCCTGAAGGCTGCACTGGTGCCCCGGGGGGAGGACTGCTGCCTGCTTTACGGTCCGCGTGCCCTCTGCGTGTGTACAACACATTCATCCCTGAAATATTTATTGAAGCGTTTACGTAGGCCCTAAAAACCAAGATAAAGTCCATGCCTTCATTTTTAAAGTCAGGGGGAGACAAACAAATCATTATGATACCATGTGGTAGAGCAAAATTTAATATGAGCACAGGTTTACTGCCTTTTTTCTCTTCCACGAGGGGAAAAAATATGTAGTGTGTCCTTTATGCCCCTGCTGCATCTAACACAGTACTTTGCATGTGGTTGCTAGCCAACAGATTCTTCTGAATAAATGAATGGACAAATCTTAAATTTAAGAAGAAAAAAACCAAAACATAACTTACCCAGTCTGCGGAAAGGTCTTTGACTTGGTAAATGGGAGAAGAAACCAGGTTTCAACGCGTTTGTAATCACAATGTCAAAAAGATCTGCAAAATCATTCCTGAAAAGCAACACATTTTTCATGAATTTATTTTAAGGAAAATGGTCTATATAGAACAAAACTTAATCTTCACCTATCCATTTGACCACATCATCAGATCTTTGATGAACTTTTTACATTCGTCCTGTACATTTTAAGGAAAATCTAATGCTGGAAATAAAAGGTGATTTAGTACTAGTGTTCCTGACCTATGCTCTGATACCAACGTAAAAAAAGAACAAGCACATTAACTCCAGGTGCTAAGCTTTCTCGTGATGGTAACAGTTACAGCAAGTGAATTCAATCATTTCTAATAGCCAGAAATATAAGTGATGTTTTCAGAGGATGTTCAAAATGTGAAGAAGATACTCTATTTTGAAAGTTGGTGTAGTCTTATAACGAGGCCATTTCTAGGTAACAACAGTAACCATTTTCAGTCTGTACTGCAAAACTATCCGAGGGCCCCTTTAAAAATATAAGTCCCCAGATACAACTTAAAGAGGATTAATAGGAAGAAAAACTTTGGTTATCTGTGCTAATGAATGAGAGATGAAGACTCCAGAGACTTTACTCAGAAGCACAGTTCCACCACCGGGAGAGCAGGGGTCTCTCAGAGGCACCTTCCAAGGCAGCCAGGGCTCTGGCCCTGATCACCGTAAGGGTCCCTAGCCTATGTGTGACCCAGAAGGCAGACCATCCACTCACACACTGTGAGGACACCACAGACCCACCTGTACCCACAGGTGTTTAGGGACAGGCAACTGGAGGCTACAGTGGTCAGCCAGAGAGGTCTCATCTGAAGCCAGAACTTGCTTCATTCATACTCCTGGGATTTGCTGAAATGAGAGCAAGGGTCTACTGAAAGTGGATTTAGAATCTTGCTGTGACCATGGATATTTCCTGGCATTGCGCAGAAGAATGAAATGACGTAAGTATTAACACTTAGCGACTACTCTGCCTAATACTTTACCTGTATATAAATACCTCCTCATACCCGTCAAGTATTAGTGTTGTATTTTTAAGGTGATGAAACTGAGGCTCTGCCTCCATTTCCTTGGAAGTCAACTCCAGCCTGGGCTGTGCTAAATGCTGCAGTTCTGGCTCCTATGGAAAAGGCTACAGCCGGGCTCCACTCCGCTTCCCCATCTGGGAGTGCACCCCAGGGCCCTGTCCCTCAGTGACCATCCCAAGCTGAGAAACCAAATGCATGGAAGATGGCATGAAGGACATGGGTGCCATGTACCCTTCAGAGAATTTAAAGCCTAGATCATCAGCAAGCTATGAGCACAGGGAACCCCGCTTTGCTAACATGTACTGGGGGGATAGTGCAGGCGTTGAGAGGTGTTACGAGAGACAATTGTTTGCCACTCAGCATTGTTTAACAAGGTCGTGAGGAATCACTTCTAAAAAGCAGTGGTCTGACCTGCTGTCGGTCGTTTATAAGACTATGAAAACAGAATGTCTCATCACTTACCCAAGGATATGTTTGCAGAGGAGTCTACAGTAATCGCTGTGAGAACTGGTGATTAACAAAAGAATTTTCCCAGCATTCTTTAGCTGTCGAAGCCACTTTTTTACCGATTCTGGACAACTGTGTAAATACCTGCCTGGATCTCTTTTTATTTCTGGAAAATATGTTCCACAGTTTTCTGAAAAATAAAAATGTCAGACATTTTTATTTTTTCTTTTCCAATTTTTGGGGGGCTCGGTGTGTTCTCAAACAAGTCAATCTCTTTCAAAACTATAGGTAAAAAATCTAGCCGTCACTACTGTTTTTTAAAAAAGTACTTTGTTTATTTATTTATTTTTAGACAGAGGGGAAGGGAGGGAGAAAGAGAGGGAGAGAAACATCAATGTGTGGTTGCCTCTTGCGTGCCCCCTACCAGGGAACCTAGCCTGCAACCCAGACATGTGCTCCCACTGGGAATTGAACTGGCGACCCTTTGGTTTGCAGGCCAGTGCTCAATCCCCTGAGCCACATCAGCCAGGGCTACTACTGCTTCTTAAGAATACTTCTGTTCTTTCCTTAAAAACATAGCAATGACTGAAAGTGTCAGTGGATAATATTTTTGGCTACTTCATAAGAACTGATAAACTGTTAAAACACAATAAACAATATAATCAGCACTGTCAAATCAGAAAACCTTACTGTATTTGAAATATCAATTGATAAATGTTCTTTTAATCATTCAGCATATATTTGCTGAGTATAGGTAACAAATAAATGTGCTGATAATGTGCCACGAACACATCTGTGGCACGAAGCAGCCGAGAAGGGAGGGGGCTCCTCAGTCAGAGAGCAGTGCTCTTTCAGATGGAACTGGGATGAGAACAGCTGTCTGTTCACAGCCTTGGAGAGGTGCTGAGATGCCAAATGGAGAAACAAGCCAGAAAAGGCCCGAAGGCCCTGCAGTTGACTAGGAATGCTGAAGAACCTGAAAGCTGAGCTGGGATCGCTTACTTGGCCCCTCTGGGTGTTTAGAGAGGCCAAGGGGTCAGGCTGAGCTCCCAGGCAGAAAATGGCAATATCTCCAGAAGTCCTGGTCAGATGCATCTCCTTGGTGCCTTCAGCGTGGTCCGTACTTGGCAAACAATTGCAGATGTGGTTGAAATGCTACTAAATCCACAAAGCATTTTACAGATGCTGTTCTCTGGGTCCAACAGGACTAAAAAACTAAGAGAGCCCAAGTTTTGACTTCCTTTAACTGCTACAAAAAGAACACATGTATAAACCAAGTAAGATGTGAATGAGGTTGTATTGGATGATAAACTGCAACAGACATGGGCTACCCCTGGAACTCTGTATGGTGTCATGAACTTGAAATAACAGGAAGTCACATTTCAAGACTATATTTCAGGACAGGGAAGAAGAGTCTCTGAAAAAAATAAATAAAATGAAACAAAACTAGAAATGGCAGAAAACACTGTCTGCCTGCCTGAATCCACCCCGTCCGTCCTGCACCTCGTGGAAAGAACAATGATTTTATTTGAGGTTTCACTCTCCTCTGAGGGGCTGGGTGCTCAGGAAGGGCATGAGTACCTGAGTCTAACCCCTCTTGGTGATTCCTTCCCCTGCCAGTAAGTCGTTTGGGACAGTGCAGGAGACCCAGGCAAGACCCATGGGACTTTACGGGAGCTCTGCCGGGGGTCTTTGGCGACCTGTACACCACTGGTGGGCAAAAAAACCTACATAGGAAGGCATGTCCCTTCTTCTGTTCTGGACTTCGCCATGCCTCCGTGTCCTGTGTTCAACTGCTACAACTGTCTACAACACAAACACAACTCTGACCCAGCAGGGATGGCCTGGCGGAACCTGAAAGGAACCTGGATCCCTGATGCTGTCACTGGGCCTTTGAGGCGCCAATGTCACTGCTGACGGAAGTACCACCCAAATTCTGGAATTCTTCTGGTCACGTGAAATAACTCACTTTAATGATAGCATAAACATGGAAGGTACTGACTATTCGCAACCTAGACTATCTCTTTTCAGAAAATAATACACTTGCAAGAATCAATCACAACCAGACTAAGAAATCACAGACTACGTTATACCATGAGAACAATACCCAGACAGCAGGAGACCAAGAACAAAAACAGTTTGCGCTTTTCTTATATTCTGCTCTATGGGACATTTGTGTGTAAATCTCTAGGGTCTCTCCGTATCCCTGAAGCTGTGTCATTTTTAAAAGCTTTTTAATCCCAAAAGCTTTAAAAAATTAAAATAACTTTTTTTTCAGGGAAAAGAGGGCACTAGTACCATAAGATAGAGCTAATTTAAGAAAGAGAAAAATAAAACAACTAGCTAAGAACAGAAGAATTTAATGAGTGACTATCAAAGTAATGGCAGAGGCTGTGCCTTAGAATTCATCATACCTAAGAGTTATGTGTGAAATTATTTCGGCCAGAAAAACAAAGATTTTGTAGCAATAGGATTCTTATGAGCTATATAAGGAAGTATTTATAGTATGTAATGGTGAAAATATTATATACGTAAGCTGTATTTACAAACAACTGCTGAGAAAGGCTATTTTTCCCCTTAACTATATATGTGTGTCTACTGCCATCTAGTGATCAAAATATAAATTACTATTAAAACCACTACTGTCTCATTTTCAAATGGATTTTTCAAAAACAGCATATACCTTTCAATGCTGTATTTTAAAATTCTTGCCTAGATTAATTTTATTAGTATTCCTTAATAAGCCTAATGCAAAAGGGTGCAAACATAATAGTTTAGTTGAGAAAATTACTCTGAGGTAATCAAACTAAAAAAAGACAAACTCTGTATGAATAGATACCCAATGATAGATTATGGGTTGCAGCTACTATAAAGGACCACAGACTGCTATTGAGGAAAATATTTTCATCCCCACTGTAACCTCAGATCACTAAAGTAATAGGAGACATAATTACATAAATACACACTCATCTTTAAAATAATGTAATCTTCATGGGAGGGTATGTCCATTGATTTTAGAGAGAGAGGAAGGGAGAAAGGGGGAGGAGGGAGGGAGGGAGAGGGAAAGAGGGATGGAGGAAGGGGGAGAGAGAGACAGAGAGAGAGTGAATGAAAGATGGACCAGTTGCCTCCTGTACGTCCCAAGCAAGGATCAAACCCGCAACCCCGGCATACGCTCTGACCAGGAATCGAATCCACAACCTTTTTGGTATGTGGGACAATGCTCCGACCAACTGAGCTACCCAGCCAGGGCCACACTCGTGTTTTTTAAAATTTGTTTTTACTGACATGTAGTTGACATATAAATATGTTTAAGGTGGTTATGTAACACCTCTATCCCATTACACAACAGACTCTATTTGTGATGGGTACAATTAAGATCTAGCCTCTTGGCAATTTTTAACTTTATAATATAGTGCTATAGTCTATAATACTCATCTTTTTATTGAAATAAATTAAGCTCTTGAACCAACAGAAGTATTAGCTTAAATATACTTCATTAAACTACAGTTGTCAATTAAATTATCTCCCCAAAGAGACTGTGAAGTTCTTTTTTAAAAAAGATTTTATTTATTTATTTTTAGACAGAGGGGAAGGGTGGGAGAAAGAGAGAGAGAGAAACATCAATTTGTAGTCGCCTCACCGGCACCCCCTACTGGGGACCTGGCCCGAAACCCAGGCATGTGCCCTGACTGGGAATCAACCAGCAACCCTTTGGTTCACAGGTCAGCACTCAATCCACTGAGCCACACCAACCAGGGCTATAAAGTTCTAAAGGGAGGGCATATATCTTTCTGCTTGGCACAGAGCATGCATTCAAATGAGTGCCTAAATTAATGCAGGGCAGACAGGAATATTTGTTTACTTATATTCAAAGTAATAGGGTTTGTAACATATAACCTAACAGTAGGTGGCAAAAACATTGCTCTATCAAAGTTATTCTAGCTAAAGTACCTTCCATTTTTTTTACCCCTATTGAAAAAAACCATCATGTTTAATTATAATATAATTATAATAGATTAACATAATTATATCCCAATGTAACTATGATAGATTACCACTGCCTGCACAAGACAGGGAATGCAGACCGAAGGTGGGAAGAGAGGACGGTCTTACATGTTAGCTCACAGAGCAGTAGTCGGTCTGTGCTTTCAGTTTACCTCCAAGGAAGTCTAGTGCACGGCCACTTCATGAAACTCCTTTTCCTGGCCTTCCCGCCCCTCTAACATCCTTAGATGCTGGTATTTTCTGCATCCAGATGGGATTAAAAGTAAGCTTTAAAAAATTATTTATTGATTTTAGAGAGAGTGAGAGAGACAGATGGGCAGACATCACTCAACTTGTTCCTCCCCAGAACCCTGTAACCTTGGTGTACGGGAACAGCACTCCAGCTAACTGAGCTACCTGGCCAGGGCCAAACGTGAACATTTTTAAAGCTGACTCTACAGAAAAAGGTTTAGCGCTCATTAAAAAACGGGTTAATAAGCAGTGGCCTGCATGTATCAAACATGACTCAGGATTTGGGGACCTCTTGTGGAAACAAATAACAAATACAACTTGACTATTAGAAATACTTTAAAATTTAACAGACAATGGTGCTGAATCGCTATTCTTATTATCACAGAATAAGTATGCATTTTTTTCTCGTTAACTGTTTCACCATTATTTGTGTGATCTGTGGCTACAGTTTTCCAGGCTGCTGTTCAAGGGGACGACAGGTGCTGACCGCCAGCCCCTCCATCAGCCTCCAATTAAGGTCTGCTATCCTTTCCATGGCAGAACAGGATTTAGGAGCAACTGAAACATTTACAACCTTTCCAAGTTACAGAAGAGCATGCTAGTGAACAGCTACAATGTTTCCCTATGAACTAAATATATTTGCTGTAAGGAATGATGTAATTAATTTTGTGAAATATAGACATACACAATTTTTGGGGGAGGCAAGAGATACAGAAATATTTTTGAAGGACAAGAGATAAACAACAGATTACATGTTCTGAATTTCTTTTGTTTATTTATAGAGGGCAACAGAAATTTAATGTTTAAACTGAAACTTAGTATTAAAACAAATATTTCCTATTATGATCCCAGCATAGTTTGTTTCTCTCTAATATATTTAAAAATAAAGAAATCTAGAAACATCCTAATTGAGTGAAGTGAAAGAAACAATTATTTGTCAAGATTCGACAA